CCTGCAACATTTACAGTTATGCCGTGTTGGGCTTTCTTTAGGGATTCTGTTTTTCACTATTTTATTTTATAATAAGAGACGATCTCCTGATCTTGAGATTAAAGCATACAGTAAACAATTTACTCCCAATCAAGAGACTGTCTCTAATATTATATGGTAGATTATCACCTAATCGGGGTACATTAAACATATAATTATATCTTATATTATTTAACCACATATCTCCTATTCGGGAGACAATCACCAAATAAAGATGATGTCTCCCTAATGGTGAATGTCGCTTAACTATAGTGTTTGTTTGTTTCATTTTACGCCTTTTTCCCACAGTATTTTAGTCATATAGGCGGGTAGTTTCCTAACCATCGTTCCTGGAGAGTAACGCCAGTACTAGACTACCTTCTTCCGCGCTAAACTACCAAAGCATCTCCCGGGGATCCAACCACTCCAGAGAGGTAACTGGATTAGAAGTCATCGACTCTAACCCCTCGACCACGGAGGCGGTATGCCCATAGTGTAACGTTATGTTTATAGCGCAAATGACGTTACGTCAACGTGTTATTAAACTAGTGTAAAAACATGTGAATATATACCATCATCAATTAAGAAGCAGTGGTAGACGTAACAAAAAATATAATCTTGTCAAAAACATTTTACAAAACTAATGATCTAAGTATGGAGGGGAAGTGATTGAACTACATTTTTTTACTATTTAAAAAGTAAAGCAAAATTAACAGGTTGTAAAAAGAACAAAAATACGAAGAGCAGAAAAAAGAAACAGAATTAATACGGATTCCTTAAGCTAACACATATAATTTGTTTATGTTTGTATATATATGTGTAAAAAAACAATAAAAAACGAGAACACAAACTATAAGATTGATAAGATGCGCTTAATGTTATAATTCTATTCCAGAATGTGACCATTGTTGATTTGACAGTAACCTCGATTGCATATCTCCAAAATTCGGCGTACAACTTGTATTTTGGTGTACTTTTCTTACATTTGCCATTTTTTGCAGAAAAGAGCAATGAACCTTTTTAATAAGGTCCAAATTACTGAAACCCCACACCTGACACCCGTAAATTGAAATAGGCAGGATGGTGTGGTCAGACGACTTTAACTGAAGATCCATGGGAAGGTCAAGATTATTAATTCTTGAAAAAAAATGCAAACATTGCCCGATTAGCTTGGGAAACTAAATATTTAATACATTGTACAAAACTGCCAGAAGATGAAAAAGTAACACCTAGATATTTGTACATTTGAAAAATTTTGATGTTATGATCATTTAGAGTAAAATGGTAATTTTGAGGTTTATTTGTTCCGAAAACAATAACTTAAGTCTTAGAATGATTAACTTTTAGTTTCCATTTTTACAGTAAGCAGCAAAATTGTCGAGACATTCCTGAAAGCCATATTCATTATCACTAACAATTACAGTGTCATCAGCGTATAAAAGTATAAGTATCTTAATAAACAAAATGTCATCATCTATATCTGCGCTTATCGCAGTTCCGTTATTACTCCTACATAAAAGATCTTACAAGTCATTAAGATAAAGAGAAAATAAAATTGGTGATACATTTTCTCCCTAGCGAACGGCACATAGGCTTTGAAAAATGTCAGAGATGTGACCGTTAAATGAAACACAAGATTTAACATTTTTATACATATCATTAATGACATAAAATATTTTGCCACGAATTCCAGATTTAAATAATTTACTCCACTATCCTAATCTCCAGACTAAGTCAAATGCAGAACTGAAATCAATCACACAACAGAACAATTTCTTTTCACTTGATCTAAGCTTTTCAATCAAAAAATTTAGTGCAAACATATGATCATTTGTGAAAAAAATTAGATCTAAATCCTGCTTGATTTTCATTAAGCAAATTATTATTCTTTAAAAATTGCTTGATTCTGTCTAAAATTTATTTAAAAATCTTCCACAAGCAACTCAAAATATTAATTGGTCGATAATTTTTAGGTTCAAGGGGGCTACCTTTATTTTTAAAAAAATGGCTGAATAGTGCCTATTAACCAGGAGTCGGGTAAAATACCTGTATCCAAATAATATAACTTTATCATATTTATATGCGCAAAACAAAAAAAAAAATATTCATTTCGAATAAACTGTTGTTTAGTCGGGAAATTTTGACAAAAACCAAGCGGTCACTTGCGGTGACTTCGAGATTACATATCGTCTTATAACTTGAAATGATTGTAATGACAGCTTTATTTCCTTTAAGAGTAATTAATTCCCTACGATTTGGTACCAAGATATTGAAAATTGGTGAAAAAATGTTGGAGTTATGGAGTTCATATTAAGATTAGTGCTGAAAAATGAGCTGCAAGTTGAATACCTTTACTAAATATATATGTATCAGTATTTTATTTTTTGTGGGAAATGAAGGTTATTGAATTAAAAGCATATACCAAATATTAAAACATGTTTCAAATGACAAATACTACAGTGTACATAGTTTTAAGCGGTAGGAGGGTTGTAGAGTGGATAAGGGGGGCGCGCCGGACACCTATGGCTCAGGAGGCACATACATATTGCCAATAACGAAGACGAATTGAGCGCTGAATTCGAGTTTAAGCCAATGCACATAATCATTTTTACTTGTTAAAGTAACAGATCTATCAATCAAAGAATTTTTAACAAAAAATCCTAGACCCCCAGATTTTTGTATCATATCTTTTGACCTAGGTCTTGAGAAAAATAGTTAGGAATATCAATATTGTCATATATATCAAGTTTTGCTTCGTGTACACAAAAAAAATATAATATTTTGTGATCATATCAATAAATTCTGAAAAATTTAACCTTACATTGAGACCACAAAACATTAAAGTTACATTTAATAAATTTCATAAAAACAGAAATAGCGACATTTCATTAATAATGTGGGTTTTATATCAAATATGATAAACAAAATCAACAAGGAAAGGCGGCGTTCAATGGACGCAACCCCCATATGACCCAGCAACAAGAACCAACTGCAAGGAACTCTAGATCTTATTTTGGTGTCCAGACAACCAAAATGAGTTTCATAAGCATAAAAAATGGACAACCACATTGTGGCGAAATCGGAAGTAAAATATCTCTTTGCATGAGAAACTCCGCCTTCAGATCATCCGTACATCAATATTAAATCAACAAGAGCCATCCCCCGCCGAATGTGTTTGCTCATTGGAAGAATGTATATGTAGTAGAGCAGAATAACTCCATTTTAAGAGGTCTTTTGGTAATGAAAACTGATGGCTATAGTGATTACAGATTTGAAACCTATGTGAATACTGATGGCTGAAAATAACAAAGGGCAATAACTGAAAAATAATGCAGAGTAGGTTATCATTCTTGTGTGCTGCATTCCTCCTCAGTAAAATCTATCCACCTATGAAGTTTCAAGTTGATACCTCAAATACTTTTTGAAAAAAAATTGAATTGAAAAATTAAGTATGAAAAATAACAAAGGGCAATAACTCAAAAATTATAAAAGGTAGAGTTATCATACTTGTGCAGTGCACACCTCCTGAGTGAGATCTATGCACCTATGAAGTTTCATTTTGATATCTCAAAGGCTTTTTGATTTATGCTCTGGACAAAAATTAATTTTGAAAAATAACGAAGGGCAATAACTCAAAAATAATGCAGGGTAGAGTTATCATTCTTAAGCACTGCACTCCTCCTCAATGAGATCCATCCACCTTTGAAGTTTCAAGTTGATACCTCAAATACTTTTTGAGATAAGCTCTGGACAAAATACATGTAGCATGAAAAAAAACAAAGGGCAATAACTCAAAAATTGTATAGGAAAGAGTTATCATTCTTGCGCACAACATTCCTCCTCAATAAGATCTATGCACCTATGAAGTTTCATGTTAATATCTCATAGGCTTTTGGAGTTATGCTCTGGAAAAAATCAATTTTGAAAAATAACAAAGGGCAATAACTCAAAAATCATGCAAGGTAGAGTTATCATTCTTGTGCACTGCACTCCTCCTCAATGAGGTCTATCCACCTATGAAGTTTCAAGTTGATAACTCAAATACTTTTAGAGATATGCTCCGGACAAAAATGTCGGACAGAAGGTCGGACGGACGGAGACTATTTCTATATCCTCCGCCGAAAATTTTCGGCGGGGGATAACAAACATGACTATAACCATCGTCGGATACCCACGGCCGAACCATTATCATTCATATTTTAAATTAATAGTCTTACTATGTTATTTAGTATTATTATTACCAATAAATTATAGATTATCTTATTTTATTTCATGCTTTCCAGTGTTTTATTGTAATATATCAGATGATTATATTCTTATAAACCACTAGTGAAATTTATAAAATATAATTTCCACTGTAGCCGAACTATATCTGAATGCGGATGAAAAGAAAATCAAAACTAAATGGAATAACAGGCAAAAATAAATTCCGCCATGCGTAAATTTTGCTTCTTTCGGAAAAGAAAGTCGATGTCACCATACATTATGTTAAAAATGTATCAAAATTAGAGAAATTTAACAGAACTATATTTCAGACTTGTTCATGTGACTTCATGATGTGATGACGTCAGCGACGTTACACGGAAAATCAGTAAAAATTACTTAAAATCACTTAAAACGCATGAAATAAAAATAAAATTTATTTGTTTTACATATAAGATTGAAATATATTTCATTCGTGAACACCAGCTATTATATTTTCAAAAAATATTGCATCTGGTGTTCACTCATTAAAATTATATTTCAATCTTACATGCAAAACAAACAAATATCCTCTATTTCTTAATCATGTAGGTACCAATCTTAGTCTAATATGTGAAAAATAAGTGAAAGATATGTGAAAAATGTGAAAGTAAACAAGTGTGAATCATCATGACAAAACCTGCAATAATGACAATTTAGCTTATTTCACAATAATCTGCAAAAACATGTATGTTTTCAAATACTTCGGAAAGTATCAGCCTTGTATCTTAAAGGCCCATTATACATGAACCTAAGAAATCATTTTAATTTCATTACTCAAAGCTTTTTAATTTTTTGTTTACTTTTATATAAAATTCATGTTAACCCTTTTTAAAGAAGTAAAAAAAAATATTTCAGAGTCATAATTGGCCTTTATGAAGAAATACAATTTTTATAATGCAGGTTTTGTTTCAATGTAAACAAGAAATAAAACTTAATTCAACCAAGGTAACTGAAACCAAACTTACATGAACTAATAATAACAAACAGTCCAAATTTTAACTCCTTATTACTAATAGGAAGTTGAATTCTCTGTGAAGTCCTTCTGGTTTGTGTACAATTCCAAACAAACAGTGAAACTCTGTATCACCATTCTGCATTGCCTGCTGTGCCGAGAAAGCCCTTTCATTAGTAAGGACATCTCCTCCAAATACAAGTTTTTGCACTACTCTGCCATCTGAATGAGGAACAACCAATTCATGCACCTTTTGCAAAATATTGATCATACCTTGGGATGAATTTTCACTTGAGTCAATTAGGTCACAGTTGAATATCACTGATTTCTTTTTTGTTATTTCTGTATAAGGGTGGTCTATATATGCTGGATATACATCCTTCACTGGTTGCAGAAATTCAAAGTACTTGAGAAGTACCTTTGAAATATGGAAAATAAAGTTCTGTTCCAGTGATTCCATTTGGGCAACTGAAGGGACCCAAGTATGGGGAGGTATTTCCAGAATGGGCTGCTGCTGAGGAACAGGTGTTGGCAAGTTTAGATGTTCATATGTCACTCTGATTTGCTTTACCATAGTTAAGAACCAGTGGAGACTTTTCCGCTGTTTTTCCATAGTCATATGTGATGGTGAAATGGTAATGGTAAAGTTATCTCCTAATATTTCAATGCTTATTGGAACTTACAATATTTACAAATCTTAATTTGAGAATCATATTTTATATTTATGAAATAAAACCATGAAAAAATTGTGTTACAGGATATTTAATTTATCTCCAGCCTTATCATTATTATTTATATAACTAAAATAATGTTGCAACAACCTAATAATCTAAATAAATTGAATTGAAATCTAGTAAAATTAAGTGAATATGTAAATTCAATTACCTCTTTATTTAACCCACAGCCATCAAGTACTAAGCCAAGTACACACTGCATGAGGTTAAGAAATTGATTTCGAGTGTATAACAGAACAGAAACTGCCACCACAAAGCGGGCCATGCTTTTTTGCTTTGTAACAAAACTTGCCAAAACAGATGAGAGAGTCGGCATTTTTAACTTGATGATGTCAAATTGGTCTTTCCAAGAAAAGTTCATGAGTTTATTTGTTGTAGACACTTTAAAATCAGTTTCTGGCTTTTTAGTGAGTGCTGAGGTCTCTTTAATAATCTCTGTTGATACACATTTTAAAAGTGCAGATTTATATAGTTCTGATTTTAATAGATGTTTACTACAGCAGCTGGCCCTTTCCTGTTGACAATAGCTTTAAATTCCCTTAAATGGCTGATTTCTCTACTTTGTCTGTAATTATTTTGGACCTTTCCTTGACATTGTACACCAAAGTTACCTGTTAGAATTCATTAAATAATTTATGAATATTTATAACAATTCTAATATTTATAACAATATTTTAGTTTCAGGTTAAAAACTATTTGAAATTTTATTCAGTAATAAAGAAATAGTTTCAATGCCATGTTATATTTTATGACAAATTCATTACTAAACTAGCTCTACCACTCACGAAAATCAGAAATCAAATGAATACATATAACTGTTATTTGTATTAAGGCCTTGAGTCTGTCTAAGATATTACTTGTGATTGATTAAATGACATCAATATATTAAAATTGATTAAGTGCAAACCTGAAATTAAAAATTTGAATAAACTCGTGGCTTTTAATAAAAGTTTTTATGGAAATATTTTACCAGAATATACATTTCTTAAAACTGATTTTATCCAATTTAATTGGCATTGTTACTTGAAATAGATATTAACTTTAACAATGATAAATTTATTGCACTAACTGTACCTTCACATCAAATGGCTTTCTTGTACATGTAGTCACAGTTTCTGTGCTTGCATCCACCATTTTTGGTCCACAGTGAGTAATGCTAGGTCTCTTTGGGGTTGTGATCTTCTGTGGTGTTCGAAACAAAGACTTCTTACTTTTTGGTGTAACACCACTTGGTGAAGAAATTGTACGCTTTGTTGAACCTGGTTTTGATGCTACAAAATATAGAATTAACCATAATATATATGCAAAACCTTGCCCAGTGAATTTATGTTTAAAAACTAGATAAATTTGCATGAGATGCAACATGTACTATCCTGCCAATGGAGGATTTGGTTTAACATTGTATTCAGCAGCTATGGTCATATTTCAATTTCCAGCTTTCATATTGAGGAAGACCACTAAACAGCTAAATGAGGGGCTAATCGGGAGACTATTTGTTTTCAATATTGATGAATATATTTAAGTGTCCATTTTTTGTTCCTACAGAAAAATATGGAAAACATTTTATAGTATACCAATTTTTAACATGCATCTATCGTTTTTTTTTAATTGAACTTTTTATAACGTTTCTATAAAATAGTTTTAAGAAAGATAGTCAGATGTCGCAAACACATACATACCAGTTGGAGTAACATGTTGCGTTGATTGTGCTTTTACAACACCTGGCAATTGCTCAAACTTTTGCAAAAGTTCTCTTTTCTCGGCCGCTAATTTACGACCGATTGTCGTTTCATCCTCAGTGCATTTTCGGATTCTATTAAGAATATTCACACACAAGTTACAACAAAATCCAGTAGGTGAAACGTTAATACTTGCAAAAATATCGTTATATTGATATCTGCTTGCAGATGAACTGACTTGGCGATAGTTTTTGCCGTTGATTTTACCAAGACACGTACAACAGCTTTTAACCTCGGGCGCTGCCATTTTGTTTCTTATTGTTTTTTACCTCCGCAGTTGAAGAATTTAGATTTTGTTAAACGCGATGTCATTGGTAGATATTTTACGCACCTGTTGCTGTATATCGACGCAAATCGATTCATTTTACCCACGGTTGATTGCATGTTATCTGGTTATGTGACATGTTTATCAATCGTCGGTATCCGACGATGGACTATAAGTAGCAGTCCTAATTTAACGGTATATTTCCGCATTGTAACGGATGTTTTCATACAAATTTAATCTTTTTATGAGATGATTACTTTTAACTGAACCTCAGGCCTAGTGCACCGTGAAGTTAAACGGTTAAAATGTGTTTGCACAAGAAAATCTCATATTTGTTGTGTTCCGGATAGCAGCTATAACACTGTGACGTAGCGCATACACAAGCTGATTATAATCTTCATTTGCATGTTAAAATTCGTATACGAACTTTAGTGTTACCGTGGGGTTTTCCGTTTAAAATCCTTATTTATGAACAATATTTGTTGAGATTTACAACAAGACTGTTAAAAAGGTTAATGAATCTGTAGAATGCTTGGTTTTTAGGCCGACTGCAAAAATATTTTTACATATTTATTTAATGTAGCTTTAAGCGAACCTATACTTATATTATTATCATTACATATGATATTAATGGTGAAAAGCAAGAATTGAATGAAGGTATATCGCCCTCACAAATCGACGTTTCATAATGTTCATCATGAAAAAAGACCATCATTACTCTCATATATTGAATCAAAATAATTGTTTACCATGTTAGAGTTATAAAATCCATCATTATTCAAAAGTGTTCCACTTTTTCTATTATCAGTTATTAAAGAGTTATTAAATCCATCATAAATGAAAATTGTTCCACTATTTCTAGTAACAGGATAATGAATACACGACAGTTCCTTAGAAGAACACGAGAGATTTGCACACCTGTCACAAAAATAGGTCACGTTCCCCACGTGCTCCTATTTAACATTGTTGGCGTAAGAACTACGTTTGTCAGACTGCTTTGCTTTCACCGAGTGCTGTATTGGTGGGTGAACATCGAGTATATATCCTATAGCAGTGTTGGTTTTGACGGAATTTAAGATGATACACGGTGGCTAGTTGTTTCGTCGTCTGATGAAAAACTTTCTGAAAATGTTACTTGTTCAGATTCATTTCTCTCAGATGGTTGATCAAGAACATCTTGGCTATTAAGATATGATGACTTTTTGATTATTTGATGATATTTGTTTTCAACTCTAGATCTAACATTAAAATTGCGTAATCTACGGAGTATCTCATGCCAATCTAGAAATAAATCGTGCTTGACGGAGCCATTGACAACTATGGCGGCAGGAAACACATACTTGACGTTTCAAAACCCGATCTCCTCCCTTATACGTTTGAATTCAGGCAAGAGCTCTTTTCTCGCATCCCTGATCTCTAAGGGATAGTCACGTGAGATTCCAGCCTTGGAGCCTTTAAGATTTCTGACATTGGCCTTGATACGTTCTACGTCACGCTCGTCACAGAAGGACATTAGTATAGCTCTGTTACGTCGATTGCCTCCGGCATTACGTTAAACCTGGCGCTTACCAATCCGATAGGCGTCAGAGATGACAACATTATCAAGATCAAACTTACTAGATATTAATGCCAGCACAGTATCTTGGCAGTTCTCTTCGGCGTCATGTCCTGGCAAACCACTCAAGACCAGATTTTTCCTTAAAAGCCTGGTTTCTAGATCTAGTGACTTGTATTTTAATCGGACCTCACTTACTTCGTTTATGGAGTGTTGAGTACAAAGATTCAAGTCTTTTGTTCTTCATTCTTATGTCAACCATGATATCAAACATAGTGTTCATTTTTTGCTCAAGGTCCATTGTGCAAATTTATCTTTGGAAGGAACGGATCAGGGCAAAGATGGCGGCACTGTTGACGTGGCACCTGTTAAATGCCGTTTCCGAGGGGTAAATTTACCTCTATAAGCGGTTGTCATTATTCCTTAATTATATAGTCCAAACATATTCCACAATTATATTGAATATAATAATAAATCCAAAATTTTTATCGGTGTAAAAAAACGTGTATTACCACTAAAATGTCCAATAACTCTTCGTTTTTATTTGTTTGGGTCGTTAGACCAAACAAATAATGGTAGCGAAATTTCAGACTATAATGTTAATTGCAGATGCCGAAAGTAGTCCGCTTTTTTGAAGCGGTTACTTCCCTTTATATGTAACACTTAGGCCGAAAAAATTAGGGGAGATCACTGCGTAAATATGGTCACATGACAGGCGGATTAATTTTCAAGCAAAATAATTCCCGAATGGTCGAAGATTTCTAATATTGTTTTATTCTTTATAGATATACATGCTTATAGTAAGCGCCATGATTATTTACACAAGTGTTAAACAACAGTTAGCGTCGTTACAAACCCTAACGTAGAATAATATGGTTTTCTTCATACTGTCAACATACAAATTCACCGTGGACGAGGGGTTTGCGCGCTCGCTTAGGAAGCGAGAGGTCTGGAGTTCAAATCCCAGTTAAGGCAACTCATTTTTTTTCAAATTGTTTAAGTTAAATAAACATTGTTTATCAGTGTTGCAATTAGTCTTATAGCCAATCTACTACAATTAAAACGCTGGAAAGCATTGGTGGCACTATACAAAAACGAATTGTTTTATAATCTCACAACCTTCACCTTTCTGACATTCTGAGACCCAAACAAATTCAACGCCTTCTGTGCTTTGATTGTTAAATGGCTTTATTACACTCCTGCGCTGCGGTTTATGTGGCGTAAAATGAAACAAACAAACAAACAAACATACAATGTGATAAACATACTTTCATGTCATATAAATGAGCGAATACATATGTACTTTAAAGTTGAATTGTTTTCAAATAAACAACATTCTTTTTATTAAACCAAACGAAGCCTATGTTGTACATAAATGAATTTATAAGATTTCTTTTAAATAGTAAAAAATAAGTAGTTAACTGCATTTTTTTTAAATATCCTTTAAAATACCAACGTTTCGGCTGGATAGGCATCTTCAGGGTAAATAAATGAATAATAACAATAAACAGGGGATTATGTCGGCGTCGCATGACGTCAATAGAAGTGTCGTCAAACGTCAAAAAGAGTTTAGCATAATAATCATAGACATGATCAATTTGATGCATTATACTAGTGAAGAAAGCAGTTTAAGTGCAGATATTAAGTAAAAACACTAGTAAAACTAAGATTTATACAAAATACATTGACATTAAAATAGAACTTTGGAATTAATTCCATTTGGTGATAAAATATCTAAGTGATATGTCCAGGGAGTCTCTATTAAAAGTCTTTTTTAAGTTCTGTTTTAATGACTGTCAATTACTAAAAAGTATTTAGGATTTCTTTTTGACATTGATATTCGTGGGGGATGTTAAAAACAAATAAAGTCGTAGTCACAAAGGACCATCAGTGAATTTTCTTGAAACATTTATTAGATGTGAATCGGTTTGTTACCATTATAAACAAGATGTATCTTTTAAAAGACACTTGGCTGAAGTAAACAAGCTTTTACTTTTATAGGTTATTTCGGCGTTTTTGATAGATAAAGAAATCTTAGCTCAGCTTGTGTTTAATAATGACAGTTATTACGTGTTCATATTCTCAGATTCTGAAAATACTTTTATCATATTAACATAGCATTTTCAGTCATGTCTAGGAAACACTGTAAGATATAACCAGGAGATACCGTTTTGATTCGGTAATTGTATCTTATATTCAAGTATTCAGGTACACAATTAATATGTACAGATACATACATGTACATACACGAAATTCAAATCAATTGAACACATAAATAACCATATTTGTATATCACAAACACTAAACCTAATCTACTGAGAGTATCAGAAAAAAGTCTTTTATTTTTGGTATTTTGGTATTTTCACGCACACATGCATTTCCGGGATAGTAAGTGTTATTTGTGGTCTCGTTATTTTAGACAAAACTTACTAAATGTCATTTATATTACAGTCAATGCTTATTTTAATAAGCTTTTAGTTGTATACTAGAATAAATGTAATTTTAAAAATAGTCTTAACTGATATTAAATTTTTAATGTCAGCAAGCAAAGTTTTATGCGTCTCAAATAGCCGGGAAATTTAATTAGAAACTTTGTTTTCGAAAATCCTTATTTGGATTATTTAGGAAATTAGACGTATTAGGTTTTAAAAAGATGCTTCAGATTATTTTACTTATTTAAATGGCCAATGACATTCCCTTATTTCAGTTTGTAATTTTAAAATGACCAATTGATATCAATGTATATTCAGTTCTTTCCCTGTACAATTTACAGGAAGTCAATTTGTTCTCAGACGGACCTCGTCCAAAATAAAAACAACTTTTACGTGCACACTGAAATATGTTATTATCTACTTATTCCAGTCTGCAATATCTATCACACTTTCCTAAATTGCACGTCAACGATGTTTTCTGAAAGAAACAAACACTTGAAGGCTATTTTGTTGTTTTATGTATTTCTTATTTCAAGAAAATGTGATTTCAAGACATTTAGGAGTCGCAATCATTTCTCCTCACGTGACATCATGTGATAGATTCAGGATTAAGATAAACTTCAGAGCTTAAATGAACTCAATGAACTTAAAAATGTCAACGCAAAATACTTAAATATTGTCTAGTTTATTCAAAAAACAGTAATTCCGCTACAAAAACTACTTTTTTCATCCATTTGCGCCAGTGTTACACGTTTCATTTTCTTTCTAGTGTGCTAAGATAACTACTGAATTATGCATTGGACAAATACATATTTTTGAACGTGTCACTATATTACTTTCTTAATTCACAGTGACACATTGAAATGACATATTCGTTGTTATTAGGTTAAGATAGCGTGTGTTTCACGTTGTAAATGATGGTTGCATTCTAAAAGTATTTTAAGGTAGTGCTCGAAGTGAAACACTTAAACTAGGTATGTTATAATAAATGTGTT